AGTTATTAATTACAACTAAAACTAAACAAATGTAAGGACATAACTCTCTTGGTGCCTCATTTTCCAAATTCAGATCAGCTGGTTTTGGATACTAAAGCTAAACATTTATTTAAGAAGGACAAAGTCAAAGGTGAACATTTACCACAAGACAATGCTAAACCCAAAGACATGATTTAATGTTAAATCAACCATTTCCAATAATATTTTTGCTCTTTAGGTATATTACCTGAAGAATATAATTAACAAAATAAAAAAATAATAAAATAAAAATAACAATGGTGCAGCATTACATACGAATTATTATTTCAAAAGATTTTTTACATTGCTCTTGTTTTATCTTTATTACATTTAAAAGCCTAACAAAAAAAGTGTCTTTCTTTCTATTTACCAAAACATAATATCTAGATTTTCCCTTGCATTTTTTTTTTTACAACACTCTGGACAATTTAGTGCAAATGTGAAGTCTTGAACTTTGCTGAACTGAAATTATGCCTTTATAATTGATTGAGTCTTTATTTAAAGTCTTTTAGAGTAAAATGATTTTAAATTTTATAGAAAACTTTATAATATTTATTTATTGCTCAAATTATTTGTGTGCACAAGAAGACAATAGAATGTAAGTGTCAGGGGTACATTTTTAGATTATCCAATGCACTCTGATTCACTCTGCATTCAAAATAAAACTATTTTTTAACTTGATTTTATGCGTGAGACCCTTACATCCAGACAACTTTATTATGCACTTCTTTTATTTACAACACAAAGCATCTTCTTTATCCATATAGCTGCTCAAAAAAGTCCAAAACAGACAGTAGAGAGCTTGGCCTTTACAGTATATACATATAATGCAATAATGTTAACATCTCTTACATTTTGTCTTTGCCAAAAGACTTCCCATATCTGCATTCAGCATCGAGAGTGCAGAGATTGCTCCTTGTCTTTTCCTCTTACCCTCTCTGGTGTCCTGACCGCTATCCAATCAGTCCCATCTGCTTCCTTTAATGTCACTCCTAGTTAGCCCTAATGCTTAGCAGCAAGTGTCAAGACAATCTTAAGAAAAAGAAAATCCATCAAAGAGTAAACCAATATTGATGCATCAAGACAGATATTAGAAGTCAGAATTAAAATTAAAAAAAAGAAAATAGTGTTCAATCTCTGTTATAACAACAAGGAAATAAAAAGATTACAGCCCATGAAAAACATCTATCATACAGACGAAAACCCGGAGTCCGTTTAACTGAAATAAAAAAAAAAAGTTTTAAACTTAATACTATTGACAGCTTCTTGCCCTTAATGCAATACAAGACTTGAGGAAGAATAATGGCAAAATATACAGTACAAACTTACCATACTGGTCATGTTTAACTCAAACTCTCAGGAGCTCTCAGCAATAGTAAACAAATTTCACACAACATCAAACACAACACTGGCTTTGGACCCATTGTTAAGTTACAATGATTATGGATCAATGTGGGTTGATCAAAACTGCTGCCATCCGTTTTTTTTTTTAAATGTTTATGGAATTTAATGTTCACGACTTAAGTGGCACTAAGAAAAGCTTTAAAAAAGTTTCAAATATCTATCAAATTAGTCAAAAAATAAAGTTCATAGAAGAGCGACTGATGGTAGGAAAATGTCGTCTTAATTAAAATCTGTATGCATTGACTTTTACTGAATGCTAGTTTTTGTCAATAACAAAAAGGCTGAACTCATCAGCCACAGTTCACTCAGGGCTCCCATAGATAACAGATATAAGAAAGCATTTTGAGTTTATTATTTGTTTTTATGATGTGCTTTAAAACATCTCCACCTTAACATGAAATAAAAACATTCCTAGATTTACTGTACAGCTGAAAAACAGAACAAAATCAACAAACACAAATATTTAAGAAATCCCAAATAATCAACCAAACATATAACATAGGTGTAAAGTGCAGAGCCACCAGGGCTTCAAACAAAAACCAGAAAGAGAAAGGTCCGTTCCCTCGGCTTTAGAAATGATGTGCAAGTATTTTTAAACTATTCCCTTATTTTATTTTGTTATGCTAGTCTAAACAAAGTAGATATAGTGAGTGGGAAAAAATCTAAGAATTAAGGGTGTGGAATTCATTGTTTTCCTGCATCAGGACATTAAACATCAGTCTAAAAAAAAAAAAAAAAAAAAAAATATATATACCTAAATGAAACCCAAAATATGTCCCATAACATTGTCTGCCATGCAAAGCATTTGGCATGTTAGGGTGAGTGAAAGTTCATTAAACTGTTTGTTAGTGTAGTGCCGAGTTTATCCTTATTTCAAGTCATTAATGCAAAAATGGCATCGCACCATCATGAGCTTTGTTTAAATTGAGCTAATGTACATATAGTAGTACTGTATATATGCTGTCTTTAAATTGCTGCAATCCATCAAACAGATTTTGGTGAGGGATTTTGTACAGTCATCTTAGGGTGTAGACTACATGAAGAAAATGGTCTCTTTTTATAAATGATGTGGGTTCACACCAGCGCAAGCAGCACTATTAAAGATGCTGTAGTGTTTATGCTGCAGTATGCATGTGGCACAGTGACACCAGGCATTGTCAGAAAACAGATTCAAGGTAAACAAATAAAGTTGAGGATATGGAGATGCATGTGGGGTACTGAGAAAGATGAAAAAAATAAAATAAAATGTTTAAAATACTCAGCTTTCATGGAATGTTATATATTTTGCAAGGCATCACAAAATCTGTTGTTCGAAATGTTTCCACTTAGTTGGAGACACCAACTAAATGTCAAAATACCTTCTTACCTATTGAATAGTTCAAAAGAAAATCATCATACCTCACAAACAATAAATTCTAAATAAAGCTAAAAATAAATATTTTATCAAATGTTGATAAACAGAAGTTTAGGAACATTTAGCATTTGTCACTAGTTATCTTCATTAAATATGGTGACATGAATCTACAGCCCTGTTTGAGTTCCCACTGTCGGTTTTACAAGAGCATCAGTACATATTATGTTGAAAGATGGGTAAAGCATGGTTATTTTTATGTTTGGCAGACTTCTAAAATTAGACTCCTTCATCTAGCTGGTGTCCTGAGGTAGCCTAATTTCTAATGTTTATTAGAGACTAGTATTTATCTTGGTGGAGCCTTGGCTATGATTGAATCACAGACATCTGCTGCCAAACAAATTTTGAGGAATTTTTAAATGTTTAAATGTTACCAAGTATGATGATGAAATAATTAATCCATACCTACTTAAACATATCAAACAAGTGTGACCACTTTTGCTATAGCCTTTTTGCTGCTGTAACAACAGAATTTCCTCTTTGATGGAGAATAAAGGGATTTTCTATTCTATTCTATTCTATTCTATATAAATGAACAAAAACCTTTTTGTAAATCCATTTCACCTAAACCAAGGGGAGCAGATCTTTACATCTTCTATTTTTGTTTTGCCGTGTGGCTCTTCCACAGCCTACATGATAATCCTCGATATATGATATTCAAAAAACTTTTAATAAAATAAGACATTTAACAAGAATTCCTGTGTCACCAGCTGCACCTGTACACATGACCTGAAAAAGTTGCAAAAGAAAATCCAGATCCTTCTCATTTTAACCCCATTTTACAACAGAGTTTATGTTTTCCCACATTAGTTTGATTAGTAAAGATAGTTGGAACATTATAACATTTACATGAACAGCTGTATTGTTTATATATGTGTGTACAGAATATAGTAAATGTCATGGTTCTTAATAGATATTCAGAATTGCATTCAACTGATTTAACCTTATTGGTTTTGGCTTTAGAATAAGCCATTTAACTCAAATAATATATAAGTTGATCTAAAGATTTATTAGTTATTTGTTAACCTCATGAACCAAATGCATCTTTGTTTGTACAATGATTTGGTGATTACAGTGTATAAAACAGAAACACAGGCAATATTGGTTTGAAATTCTATTAACACCCCGAAATCCAGCCGTTACTAAGCTAATAAAAGAACTGTTTCTTTAAAGCTTAGAAACACTTCACCTTAAAAGCAGTGGAATCCAGAAAAAAATGTAGATGCAAAGCTTTGTAAGAAGATAAATATCTAATAGAAATTGCCTCTGGTATTAAACACTTTAGGTACAGTTTGCCCCTTTCCTATTCCACTGTGCACCTATTGCATGTTAGGCATGGGCCGGTTGCAGAACATTTGGTGAAAATAACTTGTTTTCACCATTTTAGGTTTAGAGATTTGGAAAAAAAAAATACAGCAAATGAACCAGTTTCTTTTTTTTTTTTTTATTAATGGTATGAAACATTATTAGTAACTTAAACAATTTGAGAAAAAAATGAAACGAAAACATATTTTTTACCTTATGAAAATATTTGTGCTTTTTGAGTCAAGTGAACAGTTTTGGTTTATTCAATAATCTACTGATAAAATAAAAACACTTTTTTTGAATACATTCATTTCCATAAAAATCTCAAATATCAGAAAAACAATCTTTTTTTAGCTAATAAAAATTAGATTTTTTTTTTCTATTTGGGTAAAAAAAAAATGACACTAATGTTTGTTTGTTTGTTTTTTTATCTTAAGCTAGATTTGAAATCCATAATTAGTAAAATAACTCTGATTTTTAAATACACCTTTAAGTGTCCAGTGATGCTCTCCATGAGTCTTTCTAAAGGGTTTAGGTGCTTACTGAAACCTTACGTTTTGAGCTAGAATGATGTATGTTTGGTCTATATAAAAAATGATGGACTAGCTCACATGTGTAGAGATGATGATTTTTAATTAAATCGCACTTAATTGTTTTCCAGAGCTGCATGTATCAAGTTCTATATACTTTAAACGTTTATGAAATAATCATCCCTTAGATCTAACTTTCAACTGTCATTTTCACTAGAAATATGTTGCATAAAATATTACACCTTTTGCCATTCTTTTCTTTGTAGAGTAAGAGTAACGCTGAAAGTGTAACCATAGAGTTGTGATGTTTGCTAACAAGCCTTTTATTTTTGCCGTACTTTCCACAAATGTGTATAGTGCAGATAGAACGGGAGAAATGCAGCAGGGCTTATTCGTTATGCACAGACCTAATGAAGACATCTTAAGGCCAGGTCACCCACATTCGTCCAGCTCTGCAAGTTTCCATGAGATTTCTTTTCTTCTATTAACACAGGCTTTGCATCTATGTGTTTTTTACATTTAAAAATGGATGTTGAATTTACATAGACATATTTATAGACAGACATTTCTTCAATTTGTGGGAAACTGGGACAAAAATGAAAAGCTTGCAGTGTCAGACGCAAGTGATGTGACCTGGCCTTTAGTCTGCAGCAGCCTAAAGGCCAGTTTATGCTTTTGACACATAGCCTCTGCAACAGTCAAGTCTGTCTCTGTGTGACAACGGTTGCAGAACCTCTGCAGGGGCGTGGTCATGCACCTCAAAAAAACCCTGACTACGTGTCGGACGGTCGCAAACCCGAGCAGACCTCAAGAGGAAGTGCGCTGACAAAAAGCAGCTGTGATTGGTCCTTGGTATGCCTTTCCGGCTGTCTGTGTGGTCGGTCCTTCCTGATTCGGTGCAGGGGCGCCAAACAGAGGAACAACTACAATGGACAACTACGACGAAAAGTTAATCAAGGAGGTTCAGAAGTACAACCATTTGTACGATGCCTCAGACAATTTATCAAAAAGACCAAGGTCTCTGTCAAAACAAAGTTCTTGTGACCATCCGCCGAAGTTCTCGCTTCTCGAATAGGCTCCCCCTTGCACTTTGGCGGGAAACTTCTGTGCGTCCCTAGAAATTCCAGAACGACGGTGCAGAAGCATAACAGGAAAACTCGTTTGCGACATTTGACATGTGCGTTTGCAGAAGTCTAATCTGCCCTTAAGCGAGTGGCGTCTAAAGTGCAGCCTGTGGGTAATTTGTTTCTGTTGTAAGGAATTTGTATGGCCTCACCTTTCCTTTTAAGAGTAGCATAAATTCATCCTATCACCACATGCAGTGGAGGCATATGGACACCAAGATGGTGGACGATTTTTGTCAATGTTTAGCAGGTAAAATGACAAAATAAACCACTCTGTTATTATTAAAAAGTTTAGATTCCACTTCTGTAAGGGGAACAGTGGACTTAATTAAAGTTTGACATGTTAAGTTTCAGGACATTGTTAGATTGATAATAGTGAATGGGGTGGTCCCTCAGTTCCAATGCCAAGGTTGTAAATTTGTTTTTCAACCAGAATTATTTCTAAGCAGCCAAATTTACAGATACTTTTCTTGTCGAAAGGAAAGTGTTGTAGCCCTCTTTCAGTTAGCAACCATTGGAGGGGTGTAAAGTTCAATAGTGGTAACCGGCCCATGCCTACGTATGGCCTTATTTGGCACACTTTGAGGAAAAAGTTATTAAAGTGGTTTAAAATAAGTGAAGCAACATAGAAAATGATAAATAACAGCAGAGCTCAGCACTTACAAAATAAGGGTGATTATTCATTCTTTCACACATACAAACAGACTAATATCAGATCTCCCCTCTCTGTCTCTTGTTAGGGTGCAAGTGAAAGCTGATCTTGGGCAGTAGCAATGACTTCAACACACATTTTCTGTCTTGCTGCTGTGTTACAGTATCCCTCCTCCACACCGGTGAAACAGAAGGAGAAAGGATTGAAGCAATCTGTGATTAAGGCAGTCTCATTGATATTGCAGAGTGGTTTTTGTTTTTTTTTGTTTTTCATTATTTTGGCCTTGTTGAGAAGACTGCCACACCAGTCATGAGTTTCTTCTGCTCCTTCTTGTTGTCCTTACAGAGAGGATGAGTAAGTGTGAATGGTAACAGCGAAAGAAAATCCATAACATTAGATCCACAGAGGAAGAATATCCGATTGTAACAACATCAAGTTGTATTCCTCTTTGGAAGAAAAGGTCATATTTGGTTTATATATAATATTCTGATCTCCTCACGGTAAATTTTGTCTCCTAGACTAAAGAAAAAAATAAAGAACCCAGGACGATTGATTTAAGAAGAGTAGAAGCCTAGATTTAATTTGTCCTCTGAAGTTAGTGCTAGGGGCTTTTTAAGCAGCGTGCAGAGATAGGGATTAACAAAGATCCCACTTTCGGAACATTGTTTCTGTCTCTAAAGAAAAATCAAAGCAGATACATACAGATTAGTAGGACAAAGAAGATGAAGCTCGGCCACTGTCTTCGACTGAGGTCAGCTGATAGTTTTCCTCCCTTGCAGCTCACATGTCAAGTTCCAGGGGTTCTGAGATCTGCCAAAATGCTGCAACCCTTGTACTGTATTTCTTTACAGTCCTTTTAATTTTAGGGCTTTAGGCAACAACTAGGCCTCTGTGAGAGCTCCACACATGTCTCTATACAGCAATAGTCCCTTTAGACCCACTCCTGCATGGAGCGCTTGCAGTACAGTATGTGCCGCTGCGTGCTCTTTCTCCTGAACTGGAAAACAGTGTAGAGAAGGACCATCATGCATAGGGCCAGGACGCAGGGAATAGCAATGGCCACAGCCTTCTCTGTACCCCCTACACTGTCCAGTTTGATTACGACATCCACGTCGTTGTTGTCGCAGTGCCGTTCATCAGCCGCAGGAGGATTCCAGCCCCAGTCAGGGTCGGCTGGAAGGCCGTCGCAGCCCATGAAGTCCCTCAGGATAGATCTAGGGTAGCCAGGCTCCACACGGAGAAGCTGGTTGTTAAATTTCCAATATTCCTTTCCTTTGTAGAAGTAAGTGAAACCTGGAAGGGTAATAAAAAATAATGGTTAAAAAACTTGTTTTTAGTATTAGGATTGAATGTGTAACTCATTACTGTTGATTTAATGATATCATTTCAGTTTTCTAGCTGACATGTGAAATTCTGTAATATTTATCTTATAAATGTAAAAAGATTAGAGAAATAAAAATGCAAAAAGAAAGAAAGTTAAAGCTCTGCTCTCTGTTTTAAACTGCATTAAAAATGTATAAATAGTACAGCTGAGGCTTTATAAACACATCAAATTGTTTTAATAGAAAACAAGAATGAGAATAATGAGATTAAAAATAAAGTTAAGCTTCAAATAATCGCCAGTCTTTTGCAGATCTACTCTCTTATTTTTAATGCTTAATTTTTAATTATGAAGGACCTAGAATGTGCAATTTTTAGAAGTGAATATTATTTATTTTCTTTCCCATACAATCCCTTACAATTACCCGACAAGTAAAAGGACCTTTCCTCCATTTAAAGCAGTTTCCTCTGTAGGCTTTAATAGTCAGATCATGAAAGGGATTCAGTGTATAAATTGTTGGCCATGCGGGTGGCCTCGACACGCTGCCCACTCTCATTTAACTGCTGACTTTGTTTGGTCTCTGCCACAGCATGAGAACATGCCCCACAGTTTGTGAGATGGATCAAAAAAAACATTCACAAGATTAGGTTCAATTGGACGACAGTGGTGTCGGCTGCAGGAGTTTGCCCTGCAATCAAAGCCTTGGCAGTTCAAGCCCAGCTGTGGCTACAATGTAGCTCACCACCATCAGCGTGTGTGTGAATGGGCTAATTACTAAATGTAGCGTAAAGCACTTTGGTCAATGGACTCTATGTACAACTCCACTACTTCCTGGACTTAAGGCAGCTCTTTTGTTTCCTGTATTTTTCTACTGGATGAACTGATGACTTCAGGTATGCCTGACTTCAGCATCCATGGCTAGACACACCTCACACCTATCCAGTGCAGAAAGACAGGAAACAAAAGAACTGCCTTACATTCAGGAAGTAGTGGAGTTGTGCATAGCGCCCATTCTCTGGACTTAAAAACCCTCTACTATATATAAGTACAGGTCATTTACTGTATTAACAACAGTACTCTTGTCCAAATTATTGAAACCCTGTGTGTTAATTTGTTAAAACAACCCTTCTTTGCATACAGTATAGTATAGCATTATGTCTTTTTATACGTGTTCAAAAGGCAGGAGCGCCAAAAAGGTATTAGGAAACAGTGATGACCATTAAAAAAGGTTGATTGTGTATCTGGTCAATCATTTTTGTGTAGAATCTGACATTTTCTGTTCCGAGAGTCATCTTTGAGAATCACTGACGACAGTTTTACAGTTTTCTGGCAAACGCCACCAGAGCTTTAAATGAAAATATTCTGGATCCTTATTTATAAGCCTTGCTTATAAACACAGCTTGAAAACCTGCATACTTCAATTTCCATTGAAAG